CCTGATACTGTATATACACTGTGCTTCAATAATGAAATTTTAAAAATGGTGAGTGTCTAAAACATAGTGTAATCAATAATCTTAATAATTTATTCATATCTCCTGTAACTACTAACCTACTAGTAGGTTACTACTAACTACTAGTTAAATTTGGGAAAGGTAATCTGTAATCATTCACTGCCATAATTTTCTCTCTGGGCATTTCCTAATTCTTTGTGTGTTTTAATTTTCCATGAAGCATTTCTTGCTTACTAAAAATTGGCAGGACTCAGACTTTATGCTACTTAGGTGATATGATGACTGATAGTGATAGGCAGGTTTGAAAGTGTTAGAGAAACCAGAAGTCGGACACTGTCGCAAGCTTGAGTTATGAGGGACATCAGTGGTTGTGTTGCTTGAGGATACTCTTCTCCTTTTAAGTAAACACTTTGGACCTTCGAGATACGGAGTTGAAAAAAAAATCTGCAGATATTCTTGGTTGAGATGGGCAGGGAATGTGAATAGAGAAGAGCATGAAAAGGTGATGAAAAATATGTAGAGTTGAATATCATCATCTCAAGTGTGAGCCCTGATAAACTAAAGATAGGATGAAAGAGAAAAAAGAAAAAAACCTACCGAGTTTGCCATTTTCTTCAGCGTCAAGGTAACTTAAATTCTGAGCAGTTGCAAATAGTATATTTTTTATGGAAAGGGTATATTTTAAGTGTGTATTATTCATAGGTATATGATACTTACATGTCTGATATAATACGTGGTAGACTATAGATATACTAAATGTTTCATATGGAACATTTATGAACCATGACTTTTCCACTTAGGTGAAAACGGTAGCCCAAGTCCCTGGAGTGTCTCGCTTACCCTGAAGCGGGACTTAGGCTGCTCGCTACTGGAACGGCTCTTCCCAGATCTCTGACTGCACAAGGGATTTGGAATTTTTGGGTTCTCCAGGAGTTTTTGTTACAAATGTTTTATTTCACAATCAGCCTTGTAGAAGGAGGCATTCCAGCACAGGACCCATACGCATTCCTTATACCAATTATTCCCTACTCCCTGAGAGATAAAGATGAATAGGGATTTTTTCCCCCCCTCCAGAGGTTGCATTTCTAAGGTTATAGACGTTCCTAACTTTTCCAGTCGCACGTATTTCTCTGCCACTGGGTCTCTGTACCACTGAACACAATGTCTGTTAGGAGCTTATTTTACTTTTACTCTATTCTGAGGAAATCTTGTGATCTAAACTACCCAGATAAGTATGTCATAGGTAGTATATGTTTTCTCGATTAATTAATTAATAAGCCATTAATTAGTATAGGTTTTAATTACTGCTATGGGATCTTCCAGGCTCCTGCTGTTCATTTCCAGTCCCTTACTCTGATCATCATATTTTCTGCTCTTTATCACCAGTTTGTCTTTTTTATATCCTTTAGGTCAAAGGCCAGATATTTTGTTAAGCTGTCTCGTTGGTCTGTGAGGAAGCCTATTTTCCACTGTGTTTCAGCTTTTGTGTTCTGTACGCCCTGCTTCCTCAGGTGCACTGCGTCCTTGGCAGCATGGTTGTCTAGGCCCATTACCAGTTGAGCCTGCGTCAGTCTCCAGCCCGTCCTCAGCTGCCTACTGAGCCCGCATGCTGGAATCTATCTTGTCCTCCTCACCACTGCGTGCTCCAAAACATTCCCCAAAGTAGTCTGCCGTGCATTTCAACATAGAGGTGGTCGTGCATGGCCTGGAGGCGTCACAGGGATAAGAGAAGACAGAAGGCAGAGCTGGGAAGGACCTCACTGCCAGCTGGTGTTGTGATTCCTCCTGTGTGGGAGAGGAAACTGAGAGGACGTTCAGCAAACTGATGTGCAGTTGAGTCCAACTCCCAGACATTAAGGGGAAAGCCTCAGAATTGGGGAATATTCGAACCCATGTGGATTTTAACCAGGAATGCTGGCACATTAGATTTGCATTTTAACAAGTTGAGTTTAGTCTCAGTAAGGAAAATAGACTGGAGAGGGAGCCAGTGGAGAGAGGGCAACTGGCCATTGAGGGGAAAAAAAGGAGAGATGAGGAAGTTTAGATGCCAGTACAGGAGTTGTCGTGAAGAGAAGTGGATTTGAGACATTTAGGGTGGAGAATCAAAGATTTTCGGACTGACTGAATGTGACAGGAAAAGGGAGAGGCATTTGACCCAGGCTTCTGATTTCCATGTCTAGGTAGAGAGTGATGCAGGGAGCCATGGGGAGGAGTAAAGCAGCAGGAGATGTCGACATCTGGACAGAGTTTTAAATAGCCAAGCAACATTTCTGCCAGGAGTGAGCTAGTGTGGCTCAGGAAGTGGACAGGTTTTCTAGCGATCTTTCTTGATAGAAGGACAGAAGTTGGAGGGTAGTCGAATGGCATGTCCCTTCCTTTCAGATGACCCTTCAGTCAGACTTTTGATGAAAGTTGAAATGCACAAGCCAAGGTTAAATGCTGGAACGTTGTTCTGTATTGCTGCTGCCCCGCGTACAGTCCTGAGATGTGGACCAGACCAGAGTCCTCCTCTGAAGTCCACTGTGCCCCTGGGGGTATGGTATCCCTCAGGCATCCTCGTGGCTCCTTATTTGTCCTCCTGCTATAAAGATTTTGTGTCATTGAAATAATCCTCTTAGTGGCCAGAACGAAGTTAATAGTACTTCTGATCTAGTTCTGTTGCTTTGTGGGTAGGCCGCTTAGCTATCAAAGCCTTAGTTTATCGCCTATTTATTGCCAGAGATACTCCTTCTCGAGTTGAGGAAAAAGTTAACTCTTGGAGAAAACCTCATTGTGTTATAGTTAAGAGTATGGTATCAGGGGTCAAATGGACCTGTGTTTAAATCCTAACTCTGCCACTTACCAGCTCTGTGATCTTGGGCCTGTACTCTATAATTCCTCAGCTGTAATGGATGTTAATAGTGTACTTATCTCTTAGAGAAGATGAGTTTATATTAGGTAGTTCATATAAAACATTTGTGTAGTTTGGGGCCCATAATAAATATCTAGTAAATGCCACGTTTCATTAGGTGTTCGTTAATTATGTACCTACAGGTTGATCTGATAAACTTTATCTTTCATCTTTTGCAAATTACATAGCCTGGAGTTAGTAACCACTGGCATGTTTTCATGCACTTGCAGAAGTATATAATGTACTTAGTGTCATAAAATTTAAGTAGCTACTATTTTCTAAATTTGGTACTCCACCTTTATTCTTATGGTTTATGTTTTTTTGATAAGCAAGAAGGCATAAAGGTTAAGGGCTCAAAATTTGAATCTCATTTATTTTTACTCGAGTCGTGTGACCTTGGGCAGGTTAGTTAACCTTTCTGTGCCTCAGTTTCCTCATCTGTAAAATGGAGACAATTACAGTACTGTTCTTACACAGTTATTGTAAGGATTGAATAAGTCAGTGTATATAAAGTACTTGGAACAGTGCCTGCACATAAGTAGCCCTATACCTCTTCTTATTGGGTTACACAGTTAAAGTGCCTCAGGCATGGTAGTTTTTCTGCTTGTGCCGAGAAGCACAAGTTGTAACTTTTTACAATCTTATAGGGTAGTATTTTCTGTACAATAATCCCCTTCAGAGCTTGCTGAAGTACTCAGCAAATGGGGAGCTAGTGTGCACAGCAGGAGTGTGGGAAAGGGGTTCCAGTCCAAGGCGATGGGCTGACAATACAGGTTGTCCCACCTTCTTCCTGAGACCATGAAAAAGATAATAAAGACACTCACAAGAGAATGAAGCCCTCACAGCAAAGAGAGCAAGAGAAATGAACCAACAAAATTCCTAGGAACAGAGTGCGTACAGAATCCAATGGATACGTGAAATGGAACCCTGCAGGCTGCAGCACAGAATGGCAGAAGGGGACCACAATGAAGGCCTTTTTTCTTTCCTTTTTTTTTAATGAATCAGGAAATCTGGACATGTTTAATAGTTTGGATTTTGTGTGATTTAAAAAGAAATTCTGTGACAAAATAGTTTCTGAATAAACAAATCAGCCAACATAATTTTATTTGGGCTACACCTAGGCTTTATTAAATATTAGGTGTGAAGAAAAGGATGAAGATACTCATTTCATACAGGAATAAGGAAAAATATAAAAATATATGAAGATTGTTATATTCCAGATATATTTGTAGATACCATTCTGATACCGAAACCAGGATAAAAAATTAGGCTTCATATTTTCTAATTATGTCTTTATATCTGTTGTCAAAATCACATCAATTTACATGCAATGGAATCTGATTTTACAGTACATAGGAAGAGAGATTTTATTTCTAATTAGATTTTTTTTCACAGTTTGAGATGACTAGTGAAATGGGGAAGATTAATTAGCCCTCAATTTTCTAAGCTGAAATATAACCTTCCGACCCAGATTTCTATTTCCAGTGTCCAAACATCAGTCTGAGCGCTAGTCCTTACCTGCCTCTGAAGTCTGAGAGTGTGGAAATCGCTTGTTTAACTTTTATCTTCATCTACTGTGGTAAAGTTGCCAGAAATAGTTTACTTCATGAACTGAATATGGTTTTGCCTCCAAATAGTTTTCTCTATCTGTAGGACATTACATAAATCACTGCTGTTAAATATCTCTGGAGTGGAAGCTTCCATGTGTGAGGATTCTTACTGTCATGGGTGATTTCAGTTTCGGCTGAACTGTGGATCTGAAGATGTATGTGGTTGTCTGAACTTGTGTTGCCTGGGGCTGTTCTCTGTGCCCTCCCTGGATCTCTGTTTTCCCAGTGAAAGTATTTGCTCTCTTTGTGCAGAGGATTGTTGTACAGATCACACAAAGTGAAGCAGTTGATTGAGAACACTGTTGGATACCCAAGCAGGATACAGATATAGAATGGTGGTTTATTTCTAATTCAGATAATAAAGAAAAACAAACATGCACCAGAGAGCGGGATTTTGCTTAAAGTAAATGGCTGCTTTGGTTTCAAGCTAACTAAAGAAATAACTCAGACATCTTTGTTTTTTATATTTTCCAACCAACCAGAACCGGGACCAGTATTCACATCTGTTAAGTGATCACTTTCTCCCATACCAAGGTCATAATTCCTTCCGTGAGAAATATTTCAGTGGCGTAACAAAAAGAATTGCCAAGGAAGAGAAATGTAGCCAAGAGTGAAAATGAAGATTCTGACAATGGAAAAAGAGTAAGGATTTAACAGAAAAGACATCTGGATGTGAACTTCCATGTATGATATAGAAAACATACACTGTTTTAAATACTTTTATATAACGAAATAAATGGTACAAAGTAAATTGAACAATTCTTTTACAATTAGCTTTGTTTTATAGACTGTTTTGTTGTATGTAGTCTTTGGAACCATTTTTAATTTATATTTGTACTTTCAAGTATTATGGAAATTGAAAACAGTTATATTTTTGGTAATTAATTTGCAAGGGGAACTGATACTGTTGACTTTTTAAACAGATACTTGCCAGATATGTTACAAGCAGTTAACCATGGTTGAGAGTTTATTCGTTTAGTAGGTTTGTTTAATTTGGTTTCTGATTGTAATTGATTTACAGTGCCACTAATAAAGTTTACTGAGGATCCCTAAAATGGTGGTGTATTTGGTGCTTTTGGGGAAGGGGGATGTGATGAAGGAAATGAATTTTTATTTATAAGTTCCAGACTAGTATGTAATGATAGCATAATGGTGATGAGAGGAAAGGCTAAGACCTGGCAACCTGAAAAGCTCCCCAACTCCTTGAGGCCTGTCCACATCTGAAGCTCGTCTGTACCTTGGACTTGCTCCTGCATTCCTAGAACTTGACTGTTGGTCAAGTTAACTACCCACAATTTTTGGTTTAGAAAGTAACCAATAGTTAAAAGCAGTAACAACAACACAAATCCTTGATGGTTCCCTAATGGTATTAGGCCTAATCAGAGCTCTTTGAAATAGAAGCTATATTTTTCTTGAAGGAGAAACTTTGCTGAGTCTACAGTGTGTCCATCATGAAAATATCTTGTTTGAAAACCACTCTACCCATTAATTCAGGATGCTAATAGCTTTCCTGCTTTTGGTGGTCAAATGTACCTCAGCAGGGTGGCAGTAAACTGATCCTCTCCTCTAACCATAGCCTATTTTTATTTATGCTGTTATTGTTATTATTATTATTATTATTATTATTATTATTACTTTAGTATTACTGCAGGCTTTTATGGACTCCCCATTTGAATTTGCATGGCTTAGGACCTCCAAAAGACCAGTGCTGCCCAAGCAGAGGGGTGGGGGGTGGTGGGGGGCATCCACTTAGTTCTCTCTCCTTTTCTTGTAGTTCTCTCTCCTTTTCTTGTCCCGCTACCCTGAATCTCAGCAGCAGATCTCAAACATTTCAGCGATTGTTTTGTTTGGGTTTCTGGATGTGATTTGTGGTACACTGGGGAAAATCTAAAAGTATTCAAGGATAATTTATTTTCAGTATTTCTGTTATAAACCATCTTATTTAAAATTTTTTGAGGTTATATGGAGGGTGAGTTTGCAACTTGGTAGCTGACTAAATTTGGAACATGAGATTGTAGCCTTGCCCCGTTTTTTTGCTTATCACAAAAATTAGCCCAAATAGTTCTGGCAAATTACAACATGAATTTTAGTCACTTTGTCCTTAAAAATTATCCAACATTAAAAAAAAAAAGAAACTTCAAATTATTTCTTATTATTACTAACGGAGGTCTTCTAATCTTTAATTCTTCATCATATTTATCATCATGTTCAGTGTCCTATTCTTGAAATGTCACTCGGCTCAGAGTGTTAAATGTGTGTAGTTATTTTAAACTTGGTGCCCAGAAGTAGAAATTTCAACCAATTTTGATTTTATTTTTTTTTATTTTTTTTTTTAAATTTTTTTTTTTCAACGTTTATTTATTTTTGGGACAGAGAGAGACAGAGCATGAACGGGGGAGGGGCAGAGAGAGAGGGAGATACAGAATCGGAAACAGGCTCCAGGCTCTGAGCCATCAGCCCAGAGCCTGACGCGGGGCTCGAACTCACGGACCACGAGATCGTGACCTGGCTGAAGTCGGACGCTTAACCGACTGCGCCACCCAGGCGCCCCCCAATTTTGATTTTAGAGCAGAGGTCCCATCTCCTCTTATTCTGCCAAAAAAAGAGACTTCATTTTCTGGCGTCAGGATCTTGTTCCTTTCTGCATAAGTTCTATCAGATTGTCTCCAGGAGTGCTTTGCTTTATGTGTGTTCCTTATGCACTTACCGGCATAAATGTCACCTAGAAAAGTGCCTGCATTTTGGATAGTCCTGTAGTATGAATTTGCAGTGTAATCTGTGTATGAACCCTAGGTGGTCCCTCGGCTGGTCTATTTAATGTTTATAATATGGCACAATCTAACTTTTTTCTGGTATATATTAAATATCCATAAAATCCAGATGGGTACCTTGGTGGTGTTTCATCAGAAGTAACCTCTTTCCTCTCCATTCTGGTGGGGATTTTTTTTTTTTTTCCTGTGATAGCTGGGAGGAAATAGTGGAGCAGATGGTCTTTGTCTACCCAGAGTGGCCAGCATATTAAAAAAAAAAAAAATTTTTTGCTACAAATTTCTTAGCCACTTCCTGCCCATTGTGACCCAGGTTTTGGCCAGCTTGCCTCTAACGTCCATATGACTAATTCTTTAAATACAAAGATTGAGCAATAAAATATTTCAGACTCTATGAAATTCTGGGAGGTAAGTCAGTGTTACCACTGTTTTTCTTATGGAGAAAACTGTCTTAAAATTTGAGATTCCCTTCATATTTAAAAACAGTGATTATAACTAAAAAGAACCTTATTTCAAGTATGGTAGGGAAAGTCGAGTATGAGTTAACATTACCAGATGCATCATAGTGAATATGTTTGTATTACTGGATGAAAAATTTGCTTTAAAAGTTTGAGACTTACAAACAACTTTTGAGAGACTCTTATTATAATTCAATTAAAGAAGCAGGGCAGGGGGTTGACTTTTTTTTTTTAACATCAGGAAATTAGATATTAAGGTTATATTATCTAGATGCCAATAGAAGCAAATCTGGCTCTTGAATCAAAGACCTCAGTTGCTCTGAGTTAGAAGAACTGACATCTTATGCGGGAAGTGTTATCAGGTATTGCTAATCCAAAGAAATATGGAATTAAACATGATGTTTATGTGTTGAAAATTGGATGTGGCACTTTTTGGGGGAAATGATCTTTCTACACCATTTTAGTCTCCCTAAAAAAGCACAATGGAACTAAGCTGATGTTAATGGTTCTTCTAGGAAAAGAAAAAATTCTTTGTTGATGAAGCAAGGCATAAATAAATAAATTCATTAATGGACTATAGGGGTGGAAATGGAGGTGAGTGTTGCTGAGAAAGTTGGTGACCTCATTGTTGATTTTCCTGTTTGACCAAAAGGGAATAAATTATACCAGAATAAGGACCTTGGCTCCTTTTACAAAAGCATGGTTTTGCTCCATTATAAAGTTATTTAGAAAACTAAACACTTGTAAGAATCTTTTTTCTTAGAAGGATTGTATTCATAAAATAAGTGAAGTCTTACTTTCATTTCCAACTCACCCACTCCCATTTTTCTCAGATATTTATCAAGTAATGTGGTTTGTAATCCAAACAAAAAAAAGTGCCTTAATCCAGAACATACACATGGACACAATAACACTAGACTGATGATGTTTGTACTTTACTAAAACATTGAGATCTTCTCTAAAACAGAGTGGTTTGAGAACATAAGGTCTAGAGTGTAAAGAATTGTAATGGAATGATAAACATATCTGTGATTCTATCTAGCCATAGAATCATAGAGACAGCACATTCCTGTCTATCCTTTGGGGTGAAAAAGCTTACCAGGGAACCTGACCCTATTCCCTTAACAGAGGTCTGCCTCAGGATGTTCATATGTTTCACTGTGTGGGATAAGCAAATTGACATTTAGACATAACTGAGACCAACCTGGAATTTGGCTCTTATCCCTTTCTTCTGAGCCATTGAAGACAGGCTCTTAGGGGAATGGAGGCTAAATTGTCATGGCAGTTTCTTAAGAAGCCTGGGTCATGAAACAAAATGGAGCTTAACAGATGAATGTTAAGATAAGCCAGCTTCACTTTCCGTAACTGCTAGCCTTGTTTCTTGCGATATTAGGACGTATTCAGTATATTTTTCTCCTAGAATTTGAATGTTCCTACTAAGATAATATTGCAGTGATGTCAAGCTGAATTGCCTAAAAAAGGAATCTGCTTTGACCTCTATTACTTTGAAATCTCTCCTTTAATCAAGCCTTCCTGGAAGAACTCTATTTTGTCTAATATTCAGCAGTGAAGATTAACTGGGCTTATGTATGAAGTTGGTCAAATTAAAAAAAATGTTGTGAAGAAAATTTTGTGAAGAATTGAAGACTGTAAATGGTACTTGAGTTGGGTTTTGATGGACTGTACAAATATTTAATGTGTTATAAGTTTGTGAAGTGGATCAAGATGGTCAAAACCAGTATTGGTGAGCTTTAGAAATCTGAAAGCTCCTTAAATATGTATTTATTTATAAATCACAGACTGGAGGATCTCACACAAGTCTGAGTTCTGCCAGCACAAACATCAGAACTTTCTCTCTCTCTCTCTTTTTTTTTTTTTTTTTTTTTTTTTTTTTTTTTTTTTTTTTTGCGTTTCATTTTTCTAAAACTTCTACTTATGGGGAGATAATTCTCCATAGGTATCTTGCATCTCTATATATCTAAGGAGGTACTGACTGTCTCTGGGGATGTGGGAGCACGATTGAAAAACAGAGATAGTATCTCCACTTCCTGTGCCCCTCCCCCTTCTGTAAAAACTATTAGCAAACTACTGTACTTTTCTCTAAACTAAACAGCCATCAACCTCCTGTTTCCATTGTGGAGCAGATGAAAGAGACTCTCACCAAGGTGAGAAGGGCCCAACAAGCCTAGCTCATCAGATAATTGGTATTTTCAGAAGTGCAACTGGCTTAGCCCCAGTGGCATCTTGGATTTATGTGAAAAAGTGGCAGCTATACATTTGGGGAAAACTTTCTCTCTCCTACCACTGCCTGAGACAAAGGTGCTGGCCCAGTGTCATCTTTGATTCATAATTTAGGTTGCATTTAGGAGATTCCTTCAAACACCTGCT